TCCGTGAGTCTCTTGCGTCTTTTACAGGAACGTGTGCGGCGCTAAAGCGAGAGTTACATTTTGAAACCACCCGCCCTCCATCTGTGAAACTGTTCTCACTTATTAAGGTTTAGGGTCATAAGTGGTGAGGAAGTCTCAAGTGAAACGTCCGGCCCGCCCTAGAAAGTGGCCTCGGGGTGCGACAGGGAGAAGTTCTTGATAAGAAAAGGAATGGAGGAAGAAGAGGAGGAGGGGGGGAGGAGGAAATGGAGGAGGAGAAGGAGGAGGAGGAGGAAACGGAGGCGCACGCTGACGCGGAGGCGGAGGAGGAGGAGGAGGAGGAGAAGGAGGGAGGAGGAGGATGAGGAGGATAAGAAAATCAGAAAAAGAAAAATAATTAGCCTGGCGAGGGACCCAACCATGTGTAGGTGTGAATCGGAGGTGAGTGGGTTAGATCGAAGTGGAACGGAGAGCCCCCCTACCGGGAAATCGGTTTCGGTTTCGTGTTCGTGCGTGCCGTGCGTGCGGGCGAGGCGAAGCTACGTGGGCGGGGGAGAAGAAAGTCTCCTCCGGCTGCGGCGCGGCCGGACCAAATGTTTCCTTTCCAGGGACCGGTGCCGCGCGGTGTCCCGCCGGTGTCCCGCCTCTGGCTGAGGCGCGGCCGGACGAAATGTTTCCTTTCCGGGGGCCCGTGCCGCGCGGTGTCCCGCCGGTGTCCCGCCGGTGTCCCGTCGGTGTCCCGATGATGATGATGATGATGATGATGATGATGATGATGATGATGATGATGATGATGATGAATGATGTCGATGATGTTGATGATGATGATGGCGATGATGATGGTGGTGATGATGGTGGTGTCCCGATGATGATGATGATGATGATGATGATGATGATGATGATGATGATGATGATGCTGTTGATGATGTTGAGGATGATGATGATGGTGATGGTGGTGACGATGATGGTGTACCGATGATGATGATGTTGATGATGATGATGTTGCTGATGATGATGATGATGATGTTGATGATCCTGATGATGTTGATGATGATGAGATGATGATGAGATGACGATGAGGTTGATGATGATGCTGTTGATGATGATGGTGATGATGATGATGGTGTCCCGATGATGATGATGATGATGATGATGATGATGATGATGGTGGTGGTGGTGGTGACGATGATGATGTCCCGATGATGATGTTGATGATGAGGATGATGAGGTGATGATGATGATTTTGATGATGGTGGCCCGACGATGGTGATGATGATGATGCTGATGTTGTTGATGATGATGATGGTGCCCCGGTGATGATGATGATGATGATGATGATGATGGTGCTGATGATGATGATGATGATGATGATGATGATGGTGATGCTGATGCTGATGGTGACGATGATGATGGTGTCCCGATGATGATGATGATGATGATGATGATGTTGCTCATGACGATGGTGTCCCGACGATGATGATGTTGGTGATGTTTTGCATGATGGTGATGAGGAGATGATGATGATGATGATGATGATCATGATGATGACGATGACGATGATGATGAAGATGATGATGATGATGATGATGATGATGATGGTGGTGTCCCGCTGATGATGATGGTGTCCCGATGCTGATGATGATGATGGCGATGATGATGATGGTGACGATGATGGTGTCCCGATGACGATGATGATGATGATGATGATGGTGATGATGATGATGATGTTGATGATGATTGTGATGAGGCGATGATGATGATGATGATGGTGATGATGATGATGATGATGATGATGGTGCCCCGATGATGATGATGATGATGATGATGATGATGATGATGATGATGATGGTGCTGATGATGATGATGATGATGGTGATGCTGATGGTGACGATGATGATGGTGTCCCGACGATGATGATTTTGATGCTGATGTTGCTCATGACGATGGTGTCCCGACGATGATGATGTTGATGATGCTGTTCATGATGGTGATGATGAGATGATGATGATGACGATGATGATGATGATGATGATGATGATGATGATGATGGTGGTGGTGGTGGTGGTGGTGTCCCGCTAATGATGATGGTGTCCCGATGATGATGATGATGATGATGATGATGGTGACGATGATGATGGTGTCCCGATGATGGTGTCCCGATGATGATGGTGATGATGATGATGATGATGATGACGATGATGATGATGATGGTGATGATGATGATGATGATGATGTTGATGATGATTGTGATGAGGAGATGATGATGATGGTGGTGCCCCCATGGTGATGGTGATGATGATGATGATGTTGATGACGTTGATGACGATGATGTTGATGATGATGATGACGACGTAGATTGTGGGATCGATTGTGATATCGACAGGGGGATCGATAGTGAGACCGAATGTGAGATCGATTGTGAGACCGATATTGAGATCGATAATGTGGTCGATTGTGAGATCGATAGTCAGATCGATTGTGAGATCGATCGAATGAAACAGATCGAGTGAGATCGATTGTGAGATCCATCGAGTTAGATCGATCGAGCGAGACCGATCGTGAGATCGATAGTGAGATCGATAGTGAGACCGATCGAGTGAGACGTTTGTTCCTCCCCCCCCGAACCTCCTTATCACCCGAAGGGTGGTCGTATAGGTACTGCAATTAAGGGTATCGTATTCGGTGGAGCTCCTTATGGGGCCACGAGACGCTGCACTGGGTGAGGGAGACGCATGCGGACTTTGCCACTGGGCCCTCCGGTGGAGCTCCATATGAGCCACGAAACGTTGTGCCTGGTGGGGGAGACGCATGCGGACTTGGCCACTGGGTCCTTCGGTGGATCTCCCCATGGGCCACGAAACATTGTGCTGGGTGGGGGAGACGCATGCCGACTTTGCCACTAGGGCCTTCGGTGGAGCTCCTTATGGGGCCACGAAGCGTTGTGCTGGGTGGTGGAGACGCATGCGGACTTTGCCACTGGGGCCTTCGGTGTAGCTCCATATGAGCCACGAAACGTTGTGCTGGGGGGGGAAACGCATGTGGACTTTGCCAGTGGGGCCTTCGGAGGAGCTCTCTATGGGGCCACGGATCGGTGGGGCTACCTATGGGCTACGAAACGCTGTACTGGGTGTGCGGGACGCATGCGTGCGGTCCCATTGGGACCTTCGGTGGGGCTCCCTATGGGGCCGCGAAGCGCTGTACTGGGTGTGCGGGGCGGTCCCAGGTGGACCTTCGGTGGAGCTCCTTACGGGGTCACGAAACGATGTACTGGGTGGTGCGTGACGCATGCGGGCGGTCCCGTTGGGGCCTTCGGTGTAGCTCCCTATGGGGCTACGAAACGCTATAGTGGGTGGTGCGTGACGCATGCGGGCGGTCCCGTTGGGGCCTTCGGTGGAGCTCCTTATGGGGCCACGAAGCGCTGTACTGGGTGGTGCGTGGCGCATGCGGGCGGTCCAATTGGGGCCTTCGGTGGAGCTTCCTATGGGGCCACGAAACGTGTGAGGGGTGTGCTGAACGGGTGATGATGATGATGATTGCGACGGAGGAGGGAGGAGGGAGGAGGGGGAGGAGGAGAGGAGAGGAGAGGAACGCGGGGACCGTCTCTTCGAAACGAGGACCCAACTCCACATGATGGTTGGGACTAGGAATACTAGCAATAATATTAATTATACCAACACTACGAATATAGTACGAGTTAAAGTAATAACAAGGACAAGACGAATCATACTAACACTCGTACGAATGCTAAACCTAGTAATATACACTACCAATGATAGTACTATGAAGAAGAAGAGGAGGAGTAGGAGGAGGAGGAGGAGGAAGAGGAGGAGGAGGAGGAGGAGGAGGATCAGGAGGAGGAGCAGGAGGAGGAGCAGACGGAGGAGGAAGAGGAGGCTAAGGAGCCTCTCCTTCCCAGGTCCTCGTTCTCCGTTCCCCTCTCCCTTTCCTTTCCCCCTCTCCGATTCATAGGCATTGGGGCCAGGAGGGGGGTGATGACCAGCCAATGCGGTCACTCGAACCTGGAGCAACGCCAGGTCCTCTGCACCAGGCGCCTCGACACCGTAGCTATCCATCGCCCCCCGCTTCAGGCCATTTGATGCTGCCACCCCACCGTTCATTGGATACCGCTCCCCCATGGACCCAGCAGATGTCGGATGCCCTGTTTCCCCCTCCCCCCCTCCCTCCCCTTCCGCCACGATCAAACAATACGAATCCCCTGAAATTGTCCGGAAGATCTCCCGCCCTCTCTGCTTACGGTTTTTTCTCGTATGATTTTTGTAAGAAGATCACGGTGCTTCAAAACTGTGCTCCCGCTGCAGGGTGGGCCTTCTGTTCGAATCGGCGCTGTGCTCCCGTCGTTTATAATGGCACTGTCGCCCCAGCGCGGGCCACTTTTCTGGATCCGAGTTTTGCTTCATTGTGCCCCCCTCATTTCCCCTCCTTCGCCTTCCCCTGGTCCTCCTGTTCCTCCCGCTCCCTCCAATCCCGTTTCTGCTGCTACTGTTCGTCTCCCCAGCGCGGGCCACTCTTTTGAATCCGAGTCTCTCTTCATCGTTGTCGCCCACCCTCATTTCCCCTCCTCCGCTTTCCCCTGGCTCTCCTTTTCCTCCCGATCCTTCCGCTCGTGCCCCTGCAGCCGCTGTCCGTCCTCGCCCTTCCCTCCCGCTCATCTTCCTGCTCGCCCACCTCCTCCTCCTCCTCCTCCTCCTCCTCCTGTGCACGCTGTTTCCCTCCTCCTCCTCCTCCTCCTCCTCCTCCTCTCCTCCTCCTCCTCCTCCTCCTCCTCCTCCTCCTCCTCCTCCTCCTCCTCCTCCCCCTCTCCCCCTCCCAATCATTCCCATGCCATCTTCTCCTTTTCATGCGTGGACGGGGGCGGATCATTCGCATGCTGACGTTGAGCGAGCGAGCCCTCTCCCTCTGCTTGTCCCTCTCTCCTCCCCGTCTCTGCGGCAGCATGCCCCATCGCAGTCGCGCGTGCTGGGCGTCCTTCTCCCTCTCCCCCCGGCTCCTTCTCCCCTCAGGAGGCCGTCAGGGCCCACGAGTGGGACCGGTTCAAGCAGGCCGGAGGGGGGTGGGGGAAGGAGGAGGCCGGCGGGGGTGTCCAAGAGGGGGGTATAGGTCGGGTCAGGTCCAGTCTCGCGCGGAGGCAGTTTTTGCAGCCCTCTGAAGACAAAGCTGCTGGCAGGCCACCGGAGCCAGGAAGTCTACAGCACCGTCCGCGAAGAGGACTCGCAGTAGGCGCATCTGTCGTGGTTGCGGCCATCGCATTCTAGGATCTCATGGCCCGCTCAACTTTCAATGCGCTCCCTGGCCACCTCTCGTCCGCGCACCGCTGCGATCGAAGCGGGGGCGGAGAGAATGGGGACGACGGCCAGCTGCAGTTCCTGCCCACTCTGGGCAGGGATCGCTGTCGGTGTCCCAGCGGGCGGCGCTGTCCACTTGGGGCAAGGAGTCGCCCGCCCAACCGCGGCCACTGTCGGCGTTGGGCAGCATCTGCTGCTGTGCATTGCGCCCACTGTCGACTGTGGGGTGTCTCTAAGAGGGCACGAGAAGGCAGAGGCCTTCCCAGAAGCCCCCGCGGCTCCTAAGAACTCTTCTTCGAAGCTCCCAGGCACTTCTGGGAAGCCCCCTGCCTTCTAAGAAGCCTCGTGCCTTCTTCGAAGGCCGCCCCTTTCGCGACACCCTCTCACACGCGCTGCCATCCTCTTGGCGGCTCGAACAGCTTGCGCGGGGATCTTTCCGGTGTTCGGCGTCACGCCGTTTTCGGGCCCCGGCGCAGTCAGAAAGTGGCCCGGCCCGGGATGAGAGCTTTTGGCGCAGAAGGGATCCACAAGCTTTGCTGGCGCCTCGAACGAAATCGGGCGGTCGGAGGTCTCAGGAGAGAAGGCTGATGGGCCAATTTTCCTCCACCACTACCATATGTAGGACGGGGTAGAAAGGAGGATTGGGAGGTCCTCCTCCTCCTCCTCCTCCTCCTCGTCCTCTTCCTACTACCTATGGTAGTAGTGGTGGGACATCGGCCCATCAAAGGCGGATAGAGATCGCCTGTTTTGGACCCTCCCATCGCGCGAAGAGAATTATAGTTACGCATGCACCAGTCCTGTCCAGGCTCATCCTGGGCTCAGGATTTGTCCCGGCCAGGATCGATGTGTGTCCACACTTCTCTTCCTCTATTCAAGAGGCTTACGCTTAAGTTGGGCCTGGTCCTCTACAGGAAGAATATTCAGAAATAGTCAAAACAAATTGTTTGGGGACGATATTTGGAGTATGTTTGATTATTTTTGGGATTTTGTTTGGATATTTTTTATTTTTCGTAATCTACCTGTAGGAGGACATGCCCGACCTAAGCTTACGCCATTCCGCCGACCCCCAGAAAAGGCCGTTGCAGAGTGCGTGCTGTGTGCACAGGCGCTGTGGGCTTGGGCGGCAACGACGACGACGACGACGACGACGACGACGACGACGACGACGACGACGACGACGACGACGACGACGACGACGTAGGCGGCGCGCCTCCGCGGGTGCGCGCCACGGCCCCAGTTACCGTTATCCCCCCCCCCCCACGCCCCCCCCCCCTTCCCGGGTAACATGCGTTATCCGCCAGAAATAAAAAACGGTATTTGTCGGGGGGATCCACGGTTGAGGCGTCGTGGGCTTCGTGGGCATTATTTGGGCGTCTTGTGAGCTGCTTGGGGGCCTGGTGGAGCCTCCTAGAGGGAGTTTGAGGCGTCTTGGTGCCCGTCTTGGGGCTCTTCTGGGCCTCTTGGGGGCTTCTTGGGGCTTACAGTTGTCCTGGGCCCAGGAGTTTCCAGGCCCATCCTGGGCCCAGGATTGTCCTGGCCAGGTGGCCGATCGTCTGCGTGCACGGCAATCTCCCTTCCTCCCTGCTCTTCATCCTGCCTCCTCGGCCCCATCACGATGTCTTTAAACTCGCCCCCAGTGGTGGCGTCCGCATGTTGGCACCAGCAGTGGAAGCATCTTGCCCGCTCCCACCTGCTCCCTCCCAATTATCAAGAGTCTCATGCGCGGGCCGCATTTTGAGAGCAATCGGCCCTGTACCTTGGTACCTGTTGCAAGCTGTCGAGACGTACGTGCGCGGCTCTGAGGCGAGAGCCCCGTGCTGGAGGCGAGCCAGCCTCCACCCTTCAAGCGGTTGCGCGTTTTCTTCAAGCGCCATGTGCGTGGCAAGTTCTTTATAGCTCCTTCCGCCAGCGCAGACGACCCCTGCCTGGCCGCCGACGTAAAAGTGATGTGCGTGGCCAGAAACAATGTCCTGGCCAGGAGCGGTGTACAGTGCCGTTTTTTTTGATACATGCTCAGCGTGCGGATCATGCAGTAAAAATGCAGGGACTTAGTATTAAAAACAACGATGCGTTCATGCATAAATTTATCCATAACTTGATCATGTATTTCAAATTCCATATTTTTCCCTACCTAGGCTCTGCCTAGAAGGATTCTTCCTTTCTTGGCTTACAGGGCAGGGCAGTGCTACTAGCCGCCCCGGGCGGTCCCCCCCCCGTCCCCTGGGAGCAAGCAAAAGCAACAGCAAAGGTAGAAGCAAACGCGCGGTTCCCCCAATGGTGTTCTTTGGGTGCCCAGCGAAAGCAAAAGCAAAGGCAAAAGTGAAGGCAAAAGCGACGGCAAAGCAAAAGCAAAGCAAATCAAAGCATAGCATAGCATAGCATAGCGCAGCATAGCATAGTGCAGCATAGCATAGCCTAGCATAGCCTAGCATAGCCTAGCCTAGCCTAGCCTAGCCCAGCATAGCATTGCGCAGCAATGCATAGCATAGCATAGCATAGCATAGCATAGCATAGCATAGCATAGCATAGCATAGCATAGCATAGCATAGCATAGCATAGCATAGCATAGCAGAGCATAGCTTTCCTAGAGGCTCCAACTCCTAGGTGGGGTCTCACTGGGATAATTCAAATCCAATGTATTAAAAACCGCCCTGTACTCTGCACAGTTCTCGTCCTCCTGTCCACGAGGGCGCCCCTCGTCGCCACGGCTGGAGTTTCCCTCGACGCTCTGGCCTGGGGGCGCGCTCTCGACCTCTGGGCGCCGTGGGTTGCGGGGGGGGGTGGAAGCCGCTGGTCGGCGGCGAGCGAGGGGGGGGAGGGAGAAGGAGACGGCCTTCTCAGAAGGCGGCGGGAGCTTCTCAGAAGCCCTCGCGCCCCCTGCGAAGCTCTTTGTGTCTTCGGGGGTGGCCCGGACGGCTCCTCAGAAGGCCCAGGGGCACTTCCGAGCCTCCCGAGGAGGGCCGCCCCTTCTCGCTTCCCCCCCCCAGGCGCGCCGCTAAACGCTGGCCGCCCGGGCTTCCCAGCCGCTGCTGGGGGCCGCTGCCGGGGCCTCTCTGGGGCCGTCCCGGAGCGATCCGCGGCATGCATGCAGGCAGGGGCGCCCTCGCAGGCGCGAGGGCGTTCGCGCTTCGCGGTTCGGCCTCCGATGCCGCCTCATCCTCCTCTCTTCGTGGGCGGGGGGAAGCCACTGGCACTCTAGGCCTCCCAGATGGGGTCGGAGCAGATGGGGTCGGAGGATCGCGCCGCGTCGTCGATGCATCGCCGATGCAGCTCGCTTTGGAGGCCAGGTTTCTCCACGCCGACGTCGCCGATGCATCTCCGATGCATCTCCGATGTCGCCGATGCATCACCGATGCATCGGCGATGTATCACCGTTGTAACGGCGATGCGGCGCGATCCTCCGCCCCCATCTACTCGGATCCCATCTAGGAGGCTTCGAGGCACGGGGCCGCCCAGGCGTCCTGGTCGCTGCCTCTCGGGCCGCTGTTGGGGCTGCTGCTGGGCCTCTCTCCTGAAACGATCCGCGGCCAACAGCGCAACGGTCCTGTGCTTGTTTTCCGGTTTTCACTGGCATCGGCAACTCGGGGGCCTCCAGGATTTTGAGGCCACAGGAGCTCCAGATGCCCCCCGCAAGATGAGCTGGCTGATGAGCTCGCAAGCAGTTCAACCGATTACCCACCGACGATCCTGCACGAGGGCGCCCTCGAGGGCCTCCGATGCCTCCTCGTCCTCCTCTTCTCCCCTGGGGGGCGGCGCGACAGCGCGAAGTTATTCGCTCTCTCGCGCTTCGCGCAGCGCGAAGGGCGAAGTTAGGCGCCCTCGGAAAGGATCTTGGAGGTCGAGTCGAGAGGCCTCCAGGGTGTCCACGATTTGGTCGGTTTGGTTGCGTCGCTTTCGGCTGCGTTCGGTCGGTTCGCTTCGGTCGGTGGTCGTGCCTTCGCTGCGCCGCTGCGCCCTTCCAGGCTGCCTGCGGCCTCTTGGCTTCGGTCGGTTTCGGCTTCACTGCCGGTTCGGTCGGCCTTCGGTTGTGCTGTCGGGCGGGTTCGTGGCCCCGGGGACGCAAGCATGTCGTACAGCTGGAAGGGGTTGCGGTCTCGGGAGCGCGAGGGCGTCGTAGCGTGCGCAGGATTGTGGCCTCGGGGGCGCGAGCGTGCCTTACCTTACATGAGGGATTGTGGCCTCGGAAAGCGCGAGCATGGTGCATTTGCATATGGATTGCTGGAGATCGCGAGTCTGTCGTACTTTACTTGTCCAAGGCCCCCAGGAATTCGGCGGGCATCGTGATTCTTGGAAGGGGGATCGGCTGATTTCCCCCCCCCCCCCCACCCCCCCTCGCCCCCCCTCGTGCGGACTTCAACCAGTACAGCAGCTAAGCTAGAACAGAGAACATCGACAATCATATTTTGGGACAGCGAAGGGGAGGGGTGCCACTAAGAAAAGAACTTGTTGGACTGAGAGGATTTGACGCGTGACCACGGGCAGAAGCGTTGGCATGACTTCTCAGTGTCACAGTGTTGGTTGTTGGTGCACAGCGCATCTACATCCTGTACTGGCGGCTGGGCCACCGCCGTATTTACTTTACGAGCATGTTTCATTCCCAGCATTCTTGTCAGGCGTGTATAAGAGCGCCTAAGGCGGAGAGCTGAGCAGTGTCAGGCAATCACAAGCGGGAAAAGCTTAACGCAGGACATGCCTCACAGCGTAGCAGATGGGCCGTCCCGTGTGTGTGTGTGTGTGTGTCGTTTGTTCTTCGTTCCGAATGCATTTTTTTTGCGCCCCAGCAGCGTCAAACTTCGGCTCCTCTCTTATCTCATCCTTTCCGCCGCAATTTAATTTTGAGTATTATCATGATACAGGCCATGGGACTACTTCCAGCACGCCCCAGGCGCTGGTTGCCCAAGTGAAGACACAATCGTAAACATTTGCATGGCGTTGTTGCGTTACTTGGTTCTTACGCCTCAACCATTGAGCTAACCAAAACATGTATTATCGCGGACCAGACAATGAAAGGAAGGGGGGAGAACCGGAGGTGGGCGCACAAGGTGATGATGGTGAGGATGATGAGGAGGGGGGCAAGGGAGATGGGGAGGATGAGGAGGATGAGGAGGATTTAGTGAGTGGAGGAGGGGGAGGTGAGGGGAGGGGAGGAGGAGGAGGAGGAGGAGGAGGAGGAGGAGGAGGCGGAGGAGGAGGAGGAAGAGGAATAAGGGGTGAAGCAGTTGGATGATCATTGTAATCCCCTCCGTGGCAGCACCTGATGGTCATCAAGGAGAGCGTGAATCTGCTCGAGGAGCATGCGGGTCGCGAAACTGTGCAGAAGTTCCAAGAGGCGCAAACAGCTTTCTCCGATTGCCCCTCTCTGCATCGAATGGTACAAGTGGACGAGAACGAGTAGGACAACGATAAGGAAGCTGCCGTGAAGTATGTTTATGATGATGCTGCTGAAGATAAGGATGCAGATGATGCTGATGAGGACGATGATGCTGATGATGCTGATGATGATTCTGCTGCTGATGATGAAGAGGTTGCTTGTTACGATGATGGTGGTGACGGCGAGCGTGGTGATGATGATGGTTCTTTTGGTAATGAGAGTCGGGTGGGCGACGGTGAGGATGCTGCTGTTGACGATGATGTTGCTGTTGCTGTTTCTGCTGTTGCTAATGATGATGCTGATGCTGATGATGATGACGACGATGATGATGCTGCTGATGATGATGAAGACGACGATGACGATGACGATGATGATGATGATGATGACGATGACGATGACGACGACAATCACGACGATGATGCTTATGATGAAGATGATGATACTGATTATGATGATGAAGATGCTGATGACGATGACGATGACGATGACGATGACGATGACGATGATGATGATGATGATGATGATGATGATGATGATGATGATGCCGAGGATTATGCTGCTGTTGATGATGATGTTGATGATACTGATGCTGATAATGACGACGATGACGATGCTGATGCTGCTGCTGCTGCTTCTGATGATGATGATGGTGACGGCCATTGTGGTGGTAATGATGATGGTGATGATGATTTTGATGAGGATGCTGATGCTGAGGATGATGATCTTGATGACGATGATAGTGATGGTAATGACGACGACGATGATGATGATTCTGCGGATGCTGATGATGATGGTGGTGATGATCTTGAGGATGATGATGCTCCCGATGATGATTATGATGATAATCATGATCATGAGGATGATGAGGATGCTAATGATGATGATGGTGCTGATTCTGCTGCTGCTGATGATGCTGATGATGGTGATGATGCTGATGCTGCTGCTGATGATGCTGCTGATGCTGCTGATGATGCTGCTGATGATGATGACGATACTGGGGAGGGACACGCGGATGCTGACGCGGATACTGAGGAGGATGTTGAAACCATGATGGTGACCAGGAGGAACCTCGGGAGTAGGCCTGGGAAAGGGGGGATGAGGGCAGTGCGCGCAGAGCCAGGGTGACCACCCCGAGAAGGCGGCGTGGGACGATGCTGATCTTGATGATGATCTTGATGGTGATGCTGCTGCTGATGACGATGCTGCTGCTGCTGCTGATGATGATGCTGATGCTGATGCTGTTGATGATGCTGATGATGATGAAGATGATGATGATGCTGATGCTGGTGATGCTGCTGCTGATTATGATCATGATGCTGATGTTGTTGTTGACGACGGCGGCTGCCACGATGGTCGCAATGGCAAAGACGACGATGGGGACGATGACGACACCGACGACGATGACGATAACGATAATGTTGATGACGATGGTGCTGATGGTGGCGGTGATGGCGATGGTGATGAGTTGAATGATTACGATGATGCTGGTGATGTCGTTGACCGCAGGAGAATCTGATGTGGGCATGATGTGTGTGTGTGTGAATGTGTGTGTGCGCATGTGTATAGGTGTGTGAGTGTGTGTGTGTGTATAAGTATGTATGTGTGTGCGCTCGCGTGAGTGTGTGTGTGTGTGTTTGTGTGTGTGTGTGTGTGTGTGTTTGTGTGTGTGTGTGTGTGTGTGTGTGTGGGTGTGGCACGGGGGCTCGGTGGGCGAGAGGCTAGTGGTGATGGTGGTGATGATGGTGGGGTGCGGGGGGGATGATGAGGGAGGATGCGGATTGCTGGATAGGGGGGATGAAGTCCATAGTGGTGGTGGTGGCGGCAACCATGATACAAATCGAGGAGAGCGAGGAGGAGGCTGAAGAGGATGAGGATAATGGGGGATGTGTGAGGATCAAACAGGCGGCGTACCAGGTGGATGATTCATGTTTGTTGAGTTGTTGGAGGTAGGGTGCCACTGCCACGAAATTTTTCTGATTGGCTTTGAAGTCAGAATATTTCGTTCCCGTGCCATCTCCATTACTTGTGACAAGCTGGGCAGACTGCGAGGAGGAGTGGGAGGAGTAGAGGAGTAGATGGGGCGGAAGGAAGGTGAATGTGAAGTACGACGATGAGGATGAAGCATATGTAAGCGACAGGCTGAGAAATCAGGGTCAGGCTTTTGGCAGGGGCGACGTTGCCCAAACACAGTTCGGGGGGATGCCCCGCGCTCTTTACTCGCATTCCTTGGCAACAGGGCGCGGATCTGCTTCCCCCCTCGTTGGTGCTCGTCAAAGCGTAATATCTGGCGAACACCACATCGCCGAGCGAGCTGGACGACTGATGGCGACGATTAAGGGGCCATATGCGAACCCCACCCCGAGCGAAGTGAACCTCGCGAGCGAAGTGAACCCCACCCTCCCCCTCAGAAATCGTGGGGGGTAGGGGTAGGGTTCGCATGTGGCTCCCCAACGATGATGATGATAACGACAGTGGCAGCAATTATGACGACTACGACTACGAATAGGATGTGATGTGATCGTAAGGATAGTACTGGTATCATGGCTGCTGCGATGGTTGTGCCGATGTTGATGACGATGGCAATGGCGCTGCTGGTGATGATGATGCTGGATGATGCTGATGATGCTGATGCTGATCGACATGTTGGATGAGGCGGATGAGGAGGAAGTGAAGGAGGATTTGGAGGAGGAGGCGGAGGACCACGGGGAGCACGAGGATGATGGGGAGGAGAAGGAGAAGGCTGAGATGGCAGCAGCAGCAGTTACGGATGGTGAGGAACAGGCTTGGGATGAGCAGGAACGGACAAGAGAGAACATACGAATACTGAGGCAGAGGCAAAGGCAGAAGTTGAGGAGGAGGAGGAGGAGGAGGAAGAGGGGGATGGGGATGATGTGGAAGACATGCAGCAGGATTGCGAGCAGTACTACGTATTGTCAAAAGGGACTTGTCACCTTGGCAGGGCGTCCTCGGGCGTACCCATGCTGTGGCCACAAGGGCGACGTGAGGACGGAACCCTGCCCTTGGGCTCGGCCAGAACGATGCGGCAGGTCGCCGCCGCGCTGACGCGGCGGCGACCCGACCGAGCGCGGAGCGCGGGCTCCCCGAGGCCCGCTCGAGCGGGGGTAGAACTCCTCGGCGCTCGCCCCGCCGGCAGGGGGCGTGGGCCGAGCGGCCCTCGCCCCTGGCGCTGCGGAGCGCGTGCGGGCGCGCCGCGAGCGCCGGCGGGGCCCGCCGCAGCAGCGCCGGCACGAGCAGGTGCGCGAGAGAGGCGTGGGAGAGAAGGCTGCAGAGGCGCTGCCGGCTCCGCTGCGCGCAGGGCGTGGCCCAGGCGCGAGCGCGCGCGCGGCGGCTGGCCTGCGAGAGGGAGCGGTTGAAAGGGCGCACCTCCACCTCCTCCTCCTCCTGCTCTTCCTCCTGCTCTTCCTCCTGCTCCTCCTGCTCCTCCTCCTCTTCCTCCTCCTCCTCCTCCTCCTCCTCCTCCTCCTCCTCCTCCTCCTCCTCCTCCTCCTCCTCCCCTTCCCCTCTTCCTCCTCAGCCAGGGGGCGGCGGCAAGGGCGCATCTGCACCTCCGGGCACGGCGCGCGAGGCTCACCCGCTTGCTGCTTCGGGTCCGAAGCGGCCCCGCGCGCTGGTGCCCGGGGCCCCCGCCTCCGAGCCCGCTTCGTGGCGGGCGGAGGCCTGTTGGCACAGCTCGGAGCAGTGTCGAGCTGCATGGGCGCTTGGCGTCGCCCGGACGGACGTGTGCATTTTTCTTTCGGCGAGGACCATCGAGGAGCATCCTTGATCATTTGGCGAAAAAACCGCGCACGAGACCGAAAAAAGCACAGGGAATGGACGTCCGAGCGATGGCGAGGGGCGTAGACTTTCGGGGGTCCGCTCGGATTTCCCGGATCGGCGCTGGGACCCCCTCCCTTTGGTACGATCGTCGACTACACGTAAGTGACCTTTCGCCGGAGTGACCTTTGGTGCGGGCCCAGTGGGGTCTCCCGATCGCCGAGCGCGATGCAGGAATCAGTAGCGTCTTGCCCGCCCGTGTTTGGTCACCTCGCGGCCCCTAAAAAGCCGCGCACCAAAGGTCACTCTTACTCAGGGTCACTCTTGCGTGTAGCCGAGATCGGATTGGGTACGTTGCTTCATGGACGAACGCCGACAGCAGTTCCTGCCCATTCTTTGGAGGCTTCGTTGCTGACGTCTCCGCGGAGGTCATCCGCTTGAGACGAAAATGTCGGGTGCTCGACAACGGCGGCTGTCGGATTGGGGCAACACTTGCTGCTGTCCATCGTACCTATCTTTGTCCGTATAACTTGCAGGCGTGCCAGCCCCTGGCGCGCGGTGCGTGCCAGGGGCGGCGCCAGAGGCGGCGCCAGGGGATCCCAGCGTCGATCCAAGAGATTTGCGCCGACCTCCGAAAGTTTATGCTCCGCTCGAGGAGGAGGGGGAGGATTGAGGACCGAGGAGGACGGCGAGGCGGAGGACGATGGGGGCGGGGGAAAAGCTGAAGTCGGAGGATGAGAGATCTGTTGAGTCTGCAGAATGAGTCGCTCCGCAGAGGTTCAATGATGGGCGAGCAGGCCTGGGAGCGCCAAAGAAACGACGTAGCAGACTTTGAAACCGCTCAGAGAAACGAGCCACCACGCTCAGCAACTGTTCACCCCATGCATTACTCCACCACGAAACGGCCCACGATTTGGATGATGCCGATGGTGGTGATGATGATGATGACGGTGATGGCGATGGCGATGGTGATGGAGATGGTGATGATGCTGCTGCTGCTGCTGCTGATGATGATGATGATGGTGATGATGATGGTGATGGGAATGTGCTGCTGCTGACGACGACGACGACGAGGTTGATGATGATAAGGAGGATGGTGGTGGTGGTGGTGATGATGATGCTGATGCTGCTGATGATGAGGATGACGTTGCTGCTGTTGTTGCTGCTATCGGATTCTCAGTTCT